ATACACACTTTATATATACAAAACTTTTTGTTTAGGGTAGGGTATCTAAGGACTGGTAAACTGCAATGTATTACATTTTTGTTTTAGGATTTAAAAATTAGTAGACATGTGCACCGGCAAAACATTTGCTTTGTTTGGTTTAGTTTTGCTTCGAATTTTGCGTTATTTTGTTTTTCGGGATTTGGGTCCGAAATTTGATTTGTTTCGGGCCAAATTCGTTAGCGGAAGTTTTCGTTTTGTTCGTTGCAGCACAGTCACATTGGGAAAAAATATATTTTTTTACAGTCTGCAGAAGAGAAAAAAAAAAAGCGTGAGGTTCCCCCCAATTCATACCAGGCCCTTTAGGTCTGGTAGGAATGTTAGGAGGGACCCTCCAGTTTAAAAAAAAAAAGTGTGTAGGGTTCCCCCAAAATCAATACCAGGCCCTTTAGGTCTGGTAGGCATTTTAAGGGGGAAATGGAGAAAAAAAACATGAGGTGCCCCCTAACATTCCTACAAGACCCTTGATCTGACCACTGGCACGGCAGGGAAGGAAAGGGGTGGGGCAATCGAGCCCCCCCTCCCTGCGCCTTACCAGGCCACGTGCCCTCGGCATTGGCATATCTCTTCCCCACAACCCTGACTCGGTTGTTGTGGGGGTCTTATTTGCATCGGGGTACCCCTTTAAGGGGGCACCCAGATGCTGCCCTCCCTTGTGAATGAGTAAGGGGTACTTGTACCAATACCCATTCACTAAAGGGTTAAATAAAATAGTTATTAAAATGTCCAGACTTTTGATAAAATCCTTTAAATGAAAAAAAAACAGAGTCAATTTTTGAATATTCCTTTAATTAAAAAAAATGGCTCCATTGATGTAATCCAGCGTCAGTCACAATGCACGACGCCCGCTGACATAAAAAAAGTCTCGCCGCGCGACGAACGCCCCAACCCGACAATAAATCGCTGTAAAATGACATTCATGCTCGAATGTAAACAGATGGCGTGACGTCACAGCTCGTTCCGCCCATTTGACATTCTCAACTGTCAAATACTACATAGCATAGGGTCCCTGGCCCCTCTGATGCCGTGCAGGCTGGTCCGTCATTGAAGCGGCACGGATGCTCCAGGGCTGCCTCTCACCGACTCAAGCAGCGGCTGTCACAAGGAATGCGCTGCTCTCAGTACAGTGCAAGCTCTGCAGGAGGCGGGGCATCTCGTCAGTACCTGGACTGAGCAGGCTGTGGGACATAGAAAAAGTGGGGAGAAGCCAGGTAATAGTGGCTCAGTGTGGGGGAAGGGGAGGCACTGGGGTGGTTGGGAGCAGTGCTGAAGCTAGGGGGGCATGTGCCCCAGGCGCCGCAGGCAGGGCCAGTGGCAGATTCGTTAGGGGAAACAATTAATATTAGTACTGGGCCGGGATGGGTGGCACTGCTCCCTCCCTCTACCAGCACTGCCACTCCTGCAGGCACACCCGCACCTATGTATGTATATATACATATATTCTCATATGTGTGTGTGTATATACAGGGCTACATACATACACACTTGCCCATTGCATGTTCAACCAATTGTGGTGTTTAGAGGGAAAACTAGCGTCAGAACTACGGTTTTGTGAAATTAAAGTCTGTTTTCAGGCCAAACACAAACAAATATATCTTAACTTCAGCTAAAAGGCAAAATAACAAAAAAGTCCAAACAGTAAAATGCATGGTGTGTGCTTATCAAGCTGTTCCCCACCTCACATTGGCTATCAGCACAATTCTCCTGCTTCTTCGCAGCAACAGAGAGCCTTCCTTCTATCTGACTCTCACACTAACCCTCCCTAAGCTTGCCTGTGCTTAATAGGCAGGTCTGAAGGGAAAGTACATGCCTTCACAAATTAACCCCGTTAGTCCTTCCCCAGAATGACTCCCTGCAAAATATATACATTATATATATACACACATACACATATTTATTTTAAAAAAATTCATATTAGTGGTCCGCGGGATTTAAAATTATGAATTTAGTGGTCCGTGAGGTCCGAAAGATTGGCGACCGCTGCTTTAAACCATAATCAAATTGTATCTATAAAGTGACAGAGATTATTGCATCCAGTTTTGTTTATTGTATATTGTATATTTGATGCTGTCGATGAACTAGTACTTATATCAACAGAGTAGACACACATCCCAACATTATAACTTGAGAAAACGGAACGCTTTGGCATAGAAATCATTGTGGTTAGTGCCGCCATTAAATATTTCACTGAATATTGGGTGTGTCTTAAATTTGTGTGGTAAAATAGATTCTGAGCTTACTCACAGTGTATACAATAATCTGGCTAAATACAATAATCTTACATCAAGTGCTTTATATTTGTACTCATCTCCAACAGTAGTTGTCTGTCAATGCAACGTCCTGTAGATCAGCAGAAAGTCCAGGTAGCTAGCATATTCAGAAGGAGAATTTCCGCCTTTTTTACTATTTTTATTGCTATTGTAGTATTTGTAGTAATAATGTAAATAGTAGGAATAATGCAAATTTCTATTATTGTTAGGCAGATGTCTGCTCTTCTTTAAGTATGGATAAACAAGGATATTATAGATCAAAGTTTGATTACATAGAATCATGAATTGAGGGAAATACTCTAACTGACTGTAGACAGTAATTAATTATTTAGCCTGATTACTAACAGCTACTATGTTCTCTGTGTATTGTGTTTACTGCTTGCATGGCTTTAAAGAAAAAGGACAAAAAAATGGTGGTTCCAATTTCTGTTTGTGGCAGTCTTTGTTTTTAAGTTTTTATTTACATTGCATTGGTCATCTAGCATATTAGGAATCAGGAATGAAAGCACACAAAATAATATTTGTCAGTGTTGTCTATTGCAACCAATCAGCTTCTTGCTTGGGCACAATGTTGCCATGTTTCCTCCACTACATCAATAATGCATACTGTGCAGTCACACCAAGAACACTGGTTGCAAACCAAGATGTTATTGTACAGTAAATGACCATGGGCAAGTCTCTTCATGCTGTCACTACTAGGAACCCAGGAAACTC